AAAAAAAAAAACCCAACACCTTATGAATGCAGGATAGATAGTTGACCTCCGATTATACAAAATTACACAGAGCCAAGAAAGTACTTTACAGCACATTCAGTCGCTTCCATTTGTCTTGTCAGCTTAAATCAAAAACTATAATAGAACTCTACCTATTCAGATGTCATTAATTCCCTCCATTTTCTAAATTAAATTCAGATATTCCTTTATACATCACTGACAGTTGATATACTTGGCTAGAATTAAGTGAAGCCAAGAAAACTATGTTTGATTCATACAAAATGGTTTTACTTGTTTTAAATAGCTAAAAGATATCGTTTTTGCTACGTTATTACGTCTTTTATTTATTAAAGGTTAGATTAATACAGAAGGGTTTTACTTGTTCCCTTTCTCACAGAGAGAAGTTTACAAAGTGATTTGCATTAAACTAAATTGTATCCACTAATGTACTACTTTTTAAATTATACGGCCATAATGAACTCGCACAAGCATGTAAAAATGTACCTTAAAACAAATGTACTTTTACTGATTTATCCAGAGTATTCTCCAACCTCACCCTCTGACTGCTGGGATGCAAATGATTGAGATTGCAAACGGAAGAAAAAACATAAGGTACAAATGAATGGATTAAAAAGCATTAAATTAGAATAATTTGTAAAATACTATTTATGGTTACCCTTATGTGTAGAAAACAATTGAACTGATTTCTTGCAGAAACAAAAACTGTGACAACAGTTCTAATAACAACCAAAAAGGCACAAATGAAATGAAACTGCAGCTGTGATTTTGTGCATGTAATACCAATAACACAACATAAAACACATTACTAGAGGACTGCTCTGTACACAGGGCTGCTTTCTTTAGGATTAACGCCATGACCGGAGGCAGCTTTTGTATCTTCAATGGCCTGTTGTGTTTTCTGTGTTAATTGTCTGATAGTCTTAGAAAAATCCATACTTTTTAAAGGGTCTCTTTCAGCAAAGAAGATTTTTCATCATTAAGATGTGGACAGATGCTAGGGCTGTAACCGTACGTGTATTTGTTCTGAACTGGCCATATGTATGTGTACCATATGTACTGGACGGTCCACCTGTGTAACAATATGTTTTCAAAGCATGTCAAGAGGAACCTTGCTAATGACGAGCAGAAAATTATAATTAGCAGTTAACACAAACAAGCCTGGTATTGTGGATGGATGGAACGATGCAGCAGGAACATCAGGAGACGGTGAGAGAGACTTCATCAACGTCAATGCGCTTGTGTTCTTACACACAAATCAGGATCTATTAACTGACGAAGCAGGTCTGTCATTATGACTTCACCTATGTATATGGGAGATGAGGCGATATGTGTCTGTATATATATTTATAGACATATAAATATACATGTATATATCCATTAGGCGATTTGTTTTTGTTTAACAAGGCGGATGCAACTCGTCAAGTTAACAAGGTGCATCCCTACACCTCCCTCTCTGTCTACTCTGACTTTGTAATACTGATTATTACAACGCATTCTCTTCTGCTGTGATTTTCTCTTTTTAATATTAATGACTGAAAATATAAATGACGTCCTCAGCAACTAAATGACATCAACTTTCATTACATGAGAGTGGACATGAAGTCGGGCAGCCCCTTCTATATACAGTATATCTATTTAGAATTCTTTCAGTACTTTTTTTTTGCATCCACATCTCTTCTTGGACCCAAAGTGTACCAAACTGTGACTTTCATGTATCGTTACACACCTACGCTTTACTGATGTGGCCAACATTGACAACACCTTTGACACTGCTTTTGAAACACTGCACTATACACCGTGTCACCTTCTCTCCTTTTTTGGAGCTTTTTAGCACAGTCACAGACATAAAAGCACTGTGTTATCCTCTCTACGTGTCACAGCTTAGAGACATCAGTTCTCTGGATGTTTGACTTCTCATCGGTCTCCAGACAGGAGGGATCAGTGACAGAACATCACCTACTCTGACCTCATCAGCACCAGCTCTCCACAGGGCTGCAGCTCAGTCCTTACAATATAAAAGCGCAACACAGCCTGCAATATAACAGCAGTCTCCTTCTGGAACTTATTCCTTGAACTCAGGAACTCCTTACGTTCTCCTATTTTCAAGACAGTTCTTGACATCTGCTTATTTTTAGCAATGCAATGTATAAGAAACTCTTGTGTTCTGTTTAAATGTAAGAATCCTTGCGTCTCCTTTATTTCGTCAGGCATTTCTGCCGCAATCTCATGTCTTGTAATAGTATTTTAACTGCAATAAGTTTGTGGTTTCATTTCTGCTTGGAGTTCGCATATTTTTTTCCCCTGTGGGAAGGTGTCTTTTGTATCGTTTGTTTGTTTGTTTTCCCAGCACACCACTCCTGGGACAGACCAAAAAACATGCAGATTAGGGATTACATTAATTAAACCGGGGCTGCCAAATAAGTAGATCATGATTTACCAGTCAATGGCAAAGATACCAATTAAAATAAAAAACATACAGTATATATATATATTTCGATTTATACGGTGTAGTAGTGACATATACCATAAAAATTAAATCATTGTTCCATACATCTACAAGCATGTATCAGCCAACCTTAACATATAATGATTATATAAAGTATGTTGTTTATGTGAGCAAATGTATATCTAACATATTTCATTGTAGGTAGATGATTTCAGCGTAGTCATTTCAATAGTAGCTCCCAAGACAAAAGGTGTGGGCCTAGACATTGTGAATTGACAACATTGGAATTCATGGAAGAATAATCTGTTGAATAAAAATATCTGCTATGGATCATCAGATTACTCATTTGAGAAAGACATTTGAACATATAAAACCAGGGCAGACAGACAAAAAAAAAAAGTTTTTTTAGGGTCGCTCAAGAGATGGCCAGTAACCTAGTTTTGGCTCTTGATGGATGAGAAATTAGTGGAAAACATTTTTGCAAACATTAGATGTAATATCTGTCCAGGACTTTTCCTCTCTAAATAAGTCACCCAAACAGAACCTATTTAAAGGCACAAATCAAGGCTCCCAGTACCAACACTGGGATCTGTGAGAACAGGCTTCACCAGAGCTGAAATAAAAACAGAGAACAGGAAGGAAGGACTTAAATTTATGAGCACCACCATAGTGATGCAGAATAATGTAATACGTTCCTTCCTGTGAGCTGAGAGACAGCGGGGAACTAATGTAGACACCACTGAGCCTGTCTGTTCGTATGGCCTGGCAGTTTCAACCCAGCTGCCATGAAGCTGTTCATTAGAGTAACTTCAAGTATCTTAATACGCAGCTACCTATTAAATATATAGTATTATAACGTATACCTGTAGCGTATCTCGTATATCACTATGGAAACCATTAATATTATGCAGAAACGTAGGGGAACGACCCGTTACATCCTAGATAACTCACAATAACACCATTACAAGCAACAAACTTAGCAACAAACCCACGAAGTACAATTCAGCCACAGCTGCGATATGAAGTATTTCACTCACCAGAACTTCTGATTTACTCACCAAAGTCCATCCTCTCTGTCCTTAAGATGAGTTCAAATGCTCTGTGGTACAGAATTATCCGAGCGTGGCAGTTCTAACAACAAGTCCTTTTCGATCTCGTTCCAGTGTAACGCTGAAGGTCCAGTCTGCCATGTCGTATTTTGGCATAACTTTTAATTCACTCCAGGCCGAAAACATCCGCTCGACAGAAGCAGTGGACACAGAAGAAACCAATTTCGAGCGTTCAAGTTATCGCTAGATGAAGTTTGGTAGCTTCGAGACTGTGCGTTCCTTGACCATCCAATCAAATCACTCAAACCGCCAACGTGACTTGCGTTCCTTGGGTCAGCTCGAAGGCCCTAGGTGTGGCCAACTCAAAACCTGATTGGTTAAAGAAATAATCACCGCCCGCTCTCCTGATTGAGAAGTCTGGTAACACATGAAGCTGAAATGATTGGGAAACTAAAAACAAACAAACTCGAGATAAGCGACTGGAAGCAGCGCTATCAAGAGAGAAGCTAACTTATTAAATGGTGAGAACAGACTGCTATGTATTATGGTATAAATATTGACGATAAATGTATTAAAAAACAAGTCGTTGATTTTGATTTAGGCCAACAGAGAATGTTAGGCCACTGAGTATGTATATACACATACAGTATATACATACATATATACACGAATATATATTTATATATGTGTATATAATTATATATATATATATATATGCTTGTATGTATACATTTATATATACACATAACTATCAATATGTGCTACTAATATTTAATGCTGCCACAATGACTCATGATTCTATAATAAAATACTGTATAATGTACACTTTTTGCCTCAGGGAAAGTGCATACATTACAATATATACACCCATATATTCAGTGTGAATATGATTTTTGTCTAACCAAAAAAAAAAAGGAACCAGAAAATGTTTTAATGATTTTTGTGGATTAAACTTTAACACAGCCTCATACGGTTATTTTATATATTTAATGTGATCTTTTTTCCTTTCCTATGAAATAATTAGTAAAGATGTGAATTCCCTAAAATTGGTTTGTTGCCTGAGAGCATAATGACACCAGAGGGCAAAAAGAAACATATTTATTGAGGCCCCTTTTTTTGTTGCGCAGAACACATGAATTGCAAGTATTTATAGCAACCAGAGCCTTGAACCCACCTTTAATTGACACCATCTTGCAGTTTTATACACTTCACAAACTATACAATGCATTTTGTATGCATATGTATTGTTGTACCATATAAGATGGCATGAGTTCAACCCAAAAGTTGATCAAAACTATCTGCAAGAGATTAATGTACTGTAAGGCGACGGCACATACATTATGTATATTTGCAGCACTTTCAATTGCAGACAGTGAAGTGTTCATATTTTCCCACATCAGAAACTGAACCCAAGGTAAAACACTTTCAATTTAACTTTTGAAATGGTTCCAATATGTATATACGAAAAAGAGACAGGAGAAAAGTTTCAGATCAGGAGACGATGTGGTTTTTTATTTTATTGCAAGGAACTCTGGGCGACAGGAGGCAGTAGAGGTTAGAGCTCATACAAACACTTCACTGTACATAAAGATTTACATTGTGTGAGACATAATATATATACTTGTCTGACAAACACACCTTCAAATCAAGCAGTTGTCTGTACAACAAAAAGCCAAAGTTCTGCATCTCAACTCCTCGTCGTACGGGTGTCTGCCCGACAACAGGTTCACGTCACGGTCTGTGTTGAGTTTAGAATAGACCAATGGCAGAGCGACTGCCATGTCACCTACTGGTAAGCTGCATGTACAATGTGCTCTAAACGTTTTCGTTGTATATGGGGAGTAAATTTGGAATGCAGACAGCGGTGTTGGCAAACCGGATCTTTTCAGTCTTTTTTTCAAAGCAACCTTGGGCTACAGTGGTTGTACACAGACTGACACAAAGAGAGGAGAGGCAGGAGAGCTGACATCTGTATCATTCTGAAGAATCTGCTTCTCGGCCCGAAGTGATGTCTCTGATCCTCGGATTGTAGGGAGTGGGGAGAAACGGAGTCAGGGCAGCCGCAACTGCCTGCATTTAACATTTAACCCTTGATTGCGTAAAAACCAACTTTTTGTTCTGATAATAAAATCATAAGGGTGAAAATAAAATGAAAGTTTATATAACTCTCTCAGGTCCATATTTTTTGTGTGGGAAGTTTCTCCTCGTTCACTCTTCTTCGCTCTCGTTCTCGTGCTCCATGTCTTCCTCTCCATTTGCTTTGGATTCTGTTCTCTCCGGATTCCTGTCGTCCTCGTCGTCTTGTTCCTCGTTCTCCTCCATCGCCTCATCCACGACCTCATCTTCTTCCCAGTTCTGAGGACCACACAGAGACAGATACACAATGACTTGCTGTGAGGACCTCCTACAATGCTGAGATACATTCCATCTTCAGTTTCATTTCGCAAAAAGGCTGTGTCAGAATGCACCGAAGAAGTCATGACATCACATATACAGTATGTAAATGAAGTTACAAAAACAAATAATGCAAATACTTTCAGTTCAGTAAAAAAAAAAAAAAACAATTTTCAACTTTACCAAATGTAAACGCAAATAGCACGTTATTTCCCTTTAATTTTCCCTGGGAGGAAGAACCGCACCTCTACAACACAGCTGAGTCAGTAACTGTATGTGGAAAAGTGTGGGGGGTTTTTTCCCCCACCAAAAAAGTTTTTCACTTTCTAGGTCTGACTAAAAAAGTCACAAAGTAATAAAAAAAATATATACACAGAGCCCACAGTGTGCAGTGTGTACTCCAGTTGCAATTCAGAAAATGTGAAGTTTAATGATCTGTGGGGACAAACTGAGTTTTGGCCCACATATACTTACCGAGTCATCGTCAAGAAGACCTTCATCACCAGAGGCGTCGTCCTCGTCAGATGATTCTATTAAAAAAAAAGAACAGGACAAGACGAGAATCCATTAGATGTTGCTGAAGAAAGCAGTTTCCATTGCACACACCCTCCTCTTTCACAGAGAAGGTAATGAGGAAAAGAAAGTAGACAAAGCGCTTTCACGCCTTTAGAAAATTTCATGCAGGGGGGGATTTGCAGGTATTTGCATTTCAATAGAGTGGCACGGTCCTTCAGTTATGACAACAGCAGTGGCGGCGTTGAAAAAGAAACGTTTAATATTATTTGCTCCAACTATGAGCACATTAGGGTTAGGTGATCCTCGTCACACCAGCAGGAAGACTGGACCGAGTGGTGTAAAATGTACATGATCAGTTCACTTACACACGATGGACATAATAGGATCTAGACTGAACAGCCGAGGACAAAAGGCAAAGCCGATGTAACGGGTGTGCAGATTACGATCACACCTCAATCACCTTTACCACATCCAGATACACATTTTCCACATGAGATTTTTTTTTGTTTCGACCGTGTCAACATATCCACTAAAAGGTAAATGGGTTCCCTACCCACCCACCCATTTACCTTTTAGTGGATAAGTGCATCTCTCTCGAGTGACTTGTTTTCTTCACACCTCATTAATACAAGCAAACTTAATCCCATTTCTGACAGATATTCTAAATCAGGTGTGCCCAATACGTAGATTGCAAGCTACAAGTGCACAGCAGACAGAGTGTTGGTAAATCATAAGCAATTACAAATAAAATTCAAAAACACTGATGTCATAAGCAATTACAAATAAAATTCAAAAACAAATAAATAATACACAGCTCCATGCATTGAATCAGAGTTACACAAAACATATTAAATGTAATGAAAGTTAAGAGTAATTATATTTAATATTATCACCGCAGGTGGCTAATTTAGCCTAGTCATTTTAAAAGTAACTCCAGACCCAAAACACTGTAGACAACCCTTGCTCTAAACCAGCGTTTTTTTTAAACGGGTAGCCACTAGAGGGTGCTAGGGTGGCCTAAGAAAACTAGAGGGAAGATAAAAAGGACAAATTTTGTATTTTTATGGCCATTTTTAATGTGAGCAGACAGAAATAGACCGAAGGAGCAGACAACTGTTTATTAAGTTTATTATTTAAAGAGAATGCACAGCGCTGGAAACATGTTTGTTAACATTTTTCTTATGCTAAACAAATGTAGTTACTGAATAATGAATAACGGTAAGAAAGTACAGTCTAACAGTTGATGTTTCTTCACATATTTTGTAGCATTGTCTGTGGGTTTGCAAAGAGGGTCCCTGTCCAGAAGTTAATACTGTTTCAGGGCCTTGGTCTGGAAAGGTTTGGGGAACCCCTGGTCTGAGCTAGGCTTTATTCATGGCTTTTCTTTGCTGAACCTGGTGGTGATAGTCACTAAATTTCAGAACACACCATGTTATGGTCAGTCTTTCTTGCCTAGCAAAGAGGGTCCCTGTCCAGAAGTTAAGAAGCACTTGTTTGCTACAAGTGCGCTCTTTGAATGCACACGATTGGCTTTTACCGCTAATTCAACTGAAGACAGACATTAGGTTCCCAGATGTTTAACACAATTTAAGATGTTCTGCTAACATCTAATGGCCACTGCCATCCTATGGTGACCTGAGGTCACTGCATTCTTTCTGTCAAACTTAAACACTGGATCCATTTGAAGTCAAGTGACAGCACTCTTACTTTCTTTTTCTGCATCAGCGCAGCCAAGTCTTGTAATTGTTAAAGTTATTCTTCATGACCCACGACAACTGAGGTGGCGCGAAACTTTAATGCTGAGCATTATTACTTCAAAGAGGCCGATTTTCTACACCATTCAATGAAACGTCTGTGCTATGTTATAAAATGAGAATAAACTGAGTGGGCCTTGTTGCTTTGCTGGAGCGGGAGGATCTAAGCAGTGCAAGTCAGGTTGCCAGGCAACAGGAGTCATAGTTGCGTGCTGTGCATCAACAAGAATGGCTGTGTGACGGCCGGTGTTCCCTTTTATAAAAGTCTAGTGATTGAAACTATTGGTTTTTTTTTAATCAGTTTCAAATAATTGTAGACATTCCTACAGGTTAAAATAAACCAAATGGAAACAATCAGGGGAAAAAACTGCAGCAGAAAGTCGCCGTAACCCAGCATACGCCAGGCTGCCTATGACTGGAGTTTTGGATTCCTATAAACTGCAGATCACACTGATATTCAGACCAACATGTCACCAGGACTCAGGTCTAGATCACGCCGCTCCGTGTTGTGACATGTGTCACAGAGGAAGAGAAATAAAGTCAATTACGCGGCGGCAGATTGATGACACAGCTCAGATGATGTGCAGTGTAAGGTTAGAAGACACAAACGACAAGACAAAAAAGCAGCACTCACCTTCCTCATACACCAGTTTGGCAGTTTGGTCAACCTCAGTCACTGCTTTACTGCTGCCACACGTCGCCACCTAGTGATCACAAATAGACACCACATCGCATTGAGTGTTTACTTCCCATATTTTATCTTTTTTTTTTTTTTAATTATTGTTTGAGACAACATTGTGTTTTCGGTGTTATAATTTTATGTTGCCATTTATCCAGTCTTGTGTTATAACTGTAAAATATTAAAATAAAATTACACTAACATTGTGCCACCATCAACTATTAACTGACAGATTTTATTTTTACAAACTGACAAAACATGAAACAAGGAATGAATCTAAACTGAAAATTAATTTGAACAATGAATTCATTTAAAAAACAAAGAAACTGCATTATTTACAAGAACAAATGAACTTTTTTTGTTTTTCTCATTGTATGTGCAGCGTTGTGAAATGGCGGAGCAGTTTTCATGTCACATTAATGTCACGTACTTAACAACACTGTTGTAAACATCTGCCGTCTGACTTATTCTCAAGGGCACAGGTATCAATGCTCCATTTCTCAGACTCATAATCATACTTGTCCTTGTAAAGTCTAAGGATGCATCCTAGTCTGAATTTATTGCAGAGCTGCTGTCAGGAACATTGCTTCACCGTGCCAGGGAGAAAAAAAAATATAAAAAAATCTTGAGTAGTTTCTTCAGGGATTCCACCACAAGATCACAAGTCTGAAGTTTGCTTTTTTCCCCCCCCCAACAAATTATCATCCGTGTAAGATTGATGTGCCTGAGGACAGGGCCTGAACTTAAAGCTCAAGGTTTAGAATAAGTAGTGAACTACCCTGACAAATTCATTGAAGTTTCCAACTGAATTTAAATAAAAACTCAAACCTCACATAACCTTGTGCAGTCACTCAAATCCAAACAGTTTACATTCGTTAATCTAAGTACGGAAGATACAGGAAAAATAAATAATTTATGGAATCAAGGTTAGTCTTCGAACAATCGTTTTATGCTAAGCTACTAGTGTGCGTTTGTCGGAATTTAAATTATGCATCAGAATGATCTGGCAACACTGAGCGGGAGACACTGAAAGTGAATAGAGTGACCTTAATACAAAGCACTGGAACGAGACAATTGTATTCTCAGGACTTTCTCGCAGTAAAAACTCAGGGAGACGCTACTGAAGGTTAGAAAGTGTATGAAATCAGATGGAGCAGCTGGAGGCACAAAACAAGTCTTTTGACAACATTAATCTATTCTGTATTGACATTGAGCTCAGCGGCCACGTCGCAGAAACGCACTGATTGATAAATTCTGGTGGATTGAAGGGAAAAATAAACAAACCAGTAAAAAAAAACCCAAGTATGTAGGTGACGGGGCTGGGTATCACCAGGTGTCTAGGGATAAGGTACTTTCACGATACGTCGATAATGTCACGATAGAATGATGCTACAATAATCTGTATGTTGCAATAAATTAAATTCATGCTAAGCGCCATCATGTGGAGGCTTTAAAATAGCAACGGAATCGGTTTGGAACAAGTGCATGTTTATTGCTTAAACATTGATCACTGGTGCCATTAGATCAATAATGTAGTGCAAGACTAAATATTGTGATATGTCGTAGTATCAAGATGTTCTGCACACCCCTGCTGTGTGCAGTGTATCCAATGTGTGGATTTGTGAATGTGTGTGTGTATGTAGTGACAGTGCCTGCTCAGTCTGTTAGTTCAGCTAATGGTCACAGCAGAACATCAACTAAATGAAAGTCCTTTTTTCCCCCTGAGCTGCAGTTAATGACACTGTAGTGATCAGTGTGCATCTTCTGGCTAATGTTCATTTAAAGTTAGTCATCGTCACAAAGTTTACATGACCCTGTGTCAACGCCGCTCAGCTCACTTATGCCGACTGGCTGCTTTCAGTGCTTCGCTGCATCACTGAATATACACTTCTGATATGCGGGCTGCACTGCAGCACCAATGGTTTTATTGGAAGCTGACGTGGTTCCACACTACGGACACTTTTGGCCTTTTTCTTGTAGCTGTTAATGGACTTTCCTCCACGATGACACTGAAGATGTTCCTCAGTAATGAGCATCTGTGTGAGACACTTGTGGAGTTGCAGTACTCAATTGTTTTTTTATAATCAGTAAATCTAATTGTTCAACTATTATCTCTACTCCACGTGAGGTTACTTTAAGTAATCCCAAAAGCACAGCTACCATTGCTGACTAACGAGTGCTGCACAAAATCTAATTGCAGTGTCACGCTGTGTAATCACATAACCACATAAAAGAAAGCTCGGCAGTGGAGATGTGTCTGAAGGACATGAGTAGGCTTTGATCATGTTTTTTCCCAGGATGGAATAACATAATTCAACACTAGCTATGGCTGGTCACATGCCTCCAGGAGGCAGGTGGGGGGACTGCAGCGTCTGCATTTTTTGTATAATCACTGTTTTTATTCTCCATGTTCTCCTTGATAATCCATTCAGTTGAACTGTGTCGTAGTTGATTTTAAATACTACTTATATATGATATTGTGATTGCAACCAAAATACAGTCCACTGCATTCGTCTTGTACATCTTTAATCAACTTGTGCACTCAACACCGACTTGACCCTGAACCTGTCAGCACTTCAGATGCCAAGGCGCTTGGCTTGGTCACATGACGTGTCCCGAATTGTAAAAGCCCATAATGGCAGAATGAGACAAAGTCAAATGTCTTCTTTAAAAAAAACTCCCTGGAGACAGAACTCCCAACATGCTTCAGTCATACTTAAAACTGTTATGACAAAAATATATTCTGTGCTATTATTCACTTGACTTGTACTGAAACTCATGTAGTCAGTGGAAAAACACTGAAACGACCAGACTGACAGTGTGTGTTACCCAGTGAGGGGAAATGCTACTCATCTATTCATCAAATTGTATGCACATACTGCCTGTTTCTGGTTAGGTCAGATAATCTCAGTTGGTCAACTTGCATTGTAACATGCACTAGTTTGCAAACGGGCACTATCGTACAGACAGGTGCTTATGTTGCTCTCTGTAAGACCTGCGCCGCGGAGCGTCATCAAAGCTCCGATAACAACTTTCAATAAATTCTTCAATAACCTCTTAAAAACAAACAACGTTGTTCATTTTCTGTTTTATGCTTTATTCCAAGGTGACTGCTGACAAAACTGCCAAAACAAAGATTAAAGGCAGGAGGAAATTCTCACACTCTGCATAAAATGTGGCAACCATCGAGTATGAGTTGTCATTTGATTTGCTTTCATGAGGATTTTTATTTGGTCGCGTTGACTGGCACAGAAGAACATGACGTCTTGTTGAGACCTCTGTTCTACACAACACACTCCAGTAAATACAGACTTTTCTGGTGTGTTTAGTGGTGAACCCAGTGTACTTCACATTACCACAGGAACAGAGTGCACAATACACAGAATCAGTGCAGGGTGAGACTCACCTGTGTTGACAGGAGATAGAGTTTTCCATGCAGTTTCGTGAGCTTGTGGAACATCTTCACTCTGCTCTCTATCATGTGATAAAGCACTCCCAACTGGGTCACCAGGTCTGGCAGCTGTTGAATACAAAGATGACAGCAGGTCATTATTTATTTTATAGGAATTTCTCAATACAACTCTTTCATCTCTGATACCAATACTGCCATTAGGAGTATCTGCCGACACCTTGTTTTCTCCTCCAGCATCACGCAGGCTGTTGAGCAAGTTGGGCGAAGGTATCGGATTGGGCGAGTTTATAGTTCTGATTAATTCTGATTATTGGATCTAGCCATTCCTAACTCTGACCACCACAAGCTTTTCTTTACACTAAAAGGAGCATTTTCATTGTTCCCATTAATTACTATGTCAGTCTCTTTATAATCACAGTTTATGCCCAGTGAGAAAAAAAAAGGAGTTTAATTTATACTATACATTAAAAGGTTGGTCAAAACAAACCATGCATTGAGAAGGATGAACCCGTATGATCAATCTGATTAAAACTAGCTGCAATCAAATTTGACTTTCTTAAATAGTATTAGGCTTATTGAAGTAAAGCCTGTAAGTTACAGAAACAAAAGGGTTAACAATTTGTTGTGCGTTTGACAGAAATGCAGTCCCACCTTAACCTGAACGCATGTGTGGCCTTGTAAAAATAAAGGAGTGAGGAAGCACAAACGGAGCCCATTTACCACAGTCTAATGGATTCTTTTGAGCAACGGACAGAAAACGCGATGTTGTGTGGTGAACTTACTGATGCCAGGTATGAAGAGTGTTGCATGATGACAGCCTTGAGCCATCGTACCATCAGGATAGCCCTGTAGAAAGGACACATTTATTTGACGTGCATGGAGGCGGTTCTTTTTCCCAGTAAACTATGTCAACCCAATTTAAAAAAATAATGTCAAACATCTCAGATGAGGACGTGAACTGCAGTGTGCGCTGAGGTAACACAAACTTTGGTTAGTGCAGACAAAAAATGTCTGGTTCCAAAATTCATACACAGGAAAATCTATGTCATTGTCAGCCATTAAACAACATGAATCAATTAATGGAGTTCACTTACGCAAAAGGGTGTCCTTGAAGTCTATTTGTGATCTGTAGAGGAGAAAATAAATTGTCATGTTAAAGGGGGATTTCGTAGTAATGTTTTTAACGTCTCTAAGTGTGTAACAAAATATTCATTTAAAATAAAATCAGTACTGTATTTTCCAGACTATAAGTCGCACTTTGTTTTATCCTTTGACTGGGTTTGCAACTTATACTCTGGTGCGACTGATACTAAAATATATAATTTCACGTTTGTTATTTTCACACTGACAGCCACCAAAGGGAACTCTAGGCTAGTGTACCAGTATCTGCTACTCCTGTTCCACTGAAAATGTACATGTTCATTCATTTCACACTGACTGCCACTAGAGGGCACTGGTGCGACTTACATACTTCAGCGATTTATGTTTTTTCCTTCATTATGCATTTTTTGGTTAGTGCAATTTAGTCTGGAAAATATGGCACTATGGTTAAAAAAGGGTAATATTATAAAACAGCATTTTTACAATAATCTGTACCGTAATAAATTTCATTAATGCAAAGTGCTATCAAAAAAACGTTTACCGTAGTTAGTATAGTACCATGGTTTAGTAACCATGTAGTTTAGGTTTAGTAACATGGATGCTAGTATATGTATCTGAACCAGCTAGTCATTCAAATAGTAGAACTCAAAAACCTGTTCCAATCAAGTTAGCTGATTAGCACAGGCTTTTAACCACAGCAGTCAGCCAGTGGTAAGTGTTTTCCCACTGGAGTTCAGTGTCTTCTTGCTGGGTAGTTCATTTAAGTAGGTCAACAGAGTCAGCAGTTCTGGAGGTATTTTATCATCAGAGACAAAGACAGGAGCAAGACTGTTCTATGACCTTTTTTAACAGGATCTCTCTCATGTCTCTTCTCAGTCTAATGGTGATTACAGCAAAGTGACAGAATCTCCAACTGCCAACCTTAGACTACAAGTTAATACGATCCCCAGGTTGGGTGAGGACCATTGGCAGAAAACTAATTTGAGAAAAGAAAGAAGACAGAACATGACTGTTCTCTTCTCAGTTAAACAGCACAGAGTGGATAGACGAGGTGTTCACACCTCAAGTCACTTTTTTTTTCTTCAGGTCCATTGCATTTCTTAAATACCAAAACTAAAGAGGTACTGGTGTGCTACTTGGTATTAGGTAGATATATTAAATACTTGTCATGTTTTGTAAAAAAAAATTGGAACTCTGTCTGGAGTCACGACACCATGTTCCAGCAGAGGGTAGTTTGGGTACAGTTCTACTTAAACCACTTGTAAAAAAAAATTGGAACTCTGTCTGAGGTACAGTTCTACTTAAACCATTCTCTTTCAGCATATGCAAAAAAGTCAGGAACTAGTTTTTTTGTTTTTTAACTCTCCATAAAAATTTAAGACATCTGAACCAACAGTCAAATAAAACAATGTTCCTGTGGACGAGGACCGTTCAAGAATGCAAGAACAACTTCAAAGCTGAGCATGTTGTGAAGGTTTTCTTTGAACAGGACGTCGCGAAGAACAACGGCCTTTAAAGCTCAAAGACAAACAACATATAGAGCCAGTTATGTCTCACCTCTTCCAGCAGTGGTAAAACAGCAGCCAGGGGTAACTGGGCAACAGTCTTCTTTATCACATTCTCTTTACGGGTCTGAAATACTTTCTGTAACAGAGAGCCAAATAATGCAAGCCGTTAATACACACAATTACTACATCCTCAGGTGCATGTGAATACTTTGGCTAACAAAAATGAAAGAAAGTCAACGTGTGATTCAGATGCACAACTGACGTTTAGTAAACTGGCATCCTTGCTCTCTAGACCCTGCACCAAGAGCACTGCAAAGTTGTCAGTCTGCAAAGAGGCTTTCCCTTTTGGAGCTCCCTTCTCTGTGGAGACTACAGACAGATCCATTTCACCCAGCCGCTCAGCAATGGATATCTGGGGGAAGAAAAGAGGAAAGAATGGGCCAACAGCATTCTACAGGTCTATTTATTACTCTGGTCACATAAAGGAGTTGTGGTGGATAGAAATGTGCTAAATCTTTCTATTTAGCAAGATGTAAGTTTAGTTGGTGACAAGTGTTATTGTCAAAAACATGAGCCTTGTTCTGCCATTATGACAAACCTTGCAGTTTTGTGTGTTTAAAAGTATAAAAGATACTGCAATGTTTAATTAAGTGACTCTGGGTAACCCAGGATATAAAGGCGAACATCAAACGTTTGTGAAAGACTGATGGACCTGGCCTTTGATGAAACCATCTCCTCCCAATTTTATGTGTTTGCTTATTGTGCGATGTATGGGGTTTTTATTTCTTTAATTAATGTTATGGTATCATTTAAATTGTTAATTTTTATAAAGTGTTCACAAATATTCTATCAGGATGTGTTTAATGAACTGCCTCCATAATAATCCATGTCCTACCTCTTTGCTGTCTTTTTTTCTCTTCTCCGACCCCTGGGAGGCTCCTCTAACTGGGGCTTGGTGACCAGGAAGCCCTGGAGCCAGGACACTGCTGCGACTTGTGACTGGTGTTTTCACCTTCATTAGACAAACAATTCAGTTAATTGGTTTTCCTGAAATCCACATCTGTAACCTTTGCAAAATGTAAATGCCAATAGAATCTAGATTAATACCTTGGAAACTGTGGATTCTATGGACAGTGACAGGCTGGTCTGAACGTCTCGGCTCAGACACACATGTCTCTCTGATGTGTTGATCTCCTGTGGAAAAGAGATTTTTGGATAAGAAAATTACTCAAATAAAATACTTTTTTAAACTCACTATTCATTTTTGAATACGAGTAATTTCAGTAAAAATCAACAAAAACTTTTTTTGGGGAAATAAACTTTGTAAAAATAAAAACTCATGGTTAACAGGGTGTGATATATAAAGCACTGTGTATGTTTTAGGCAAGTACATCAAAAACCAATAAAGAGAAATAAAAGGTCATATTTAACATCAAATTTAGCTTCAAACTGTTAAATTCCTCCATGTATTGTATGAACAAATTAATATTTGATATCTGTAACAGAAATTATTTTATTTTAGTGTAAATTAAATCAATGCCTGTTTAGCATTAAATGCTTTATTTTAAACAATGATTCTTTTAAATAAATGTGTTGCAAATCTTATGTTATTTGGTAAATGACAATAACAAGGACTGTTGACTCAAACTATTCCTTTGCTTCCCACAGAACTGCACCCACATAGATTATCCACAGCCACAGGCAGACGCAGTCATTTGTGCCTAATTGCACATCGTCTGATTAAAACCTCAAACTGAAATCCTCTGTACTCACAACTCTCTCCATTACAGGTTGTAGGTGGTTGCCGTATGCCAGAAGCACAGTTTGGATATTAGCTGCGAGGGCTGCAGTTAGCAGAGGGATGGGCGCCGGAGAGTCTTTTGTGTCTGACATCTGTACTGTACACGATGGAGACAAGGGCTTCTTACAGGGTCTGTGAGGACACAAAGTACATGACATGAGCACCAAACTTTGACTGGAACGTTCTGTGAGAACAAACTCAGTATGATGGGCTACTGAGAGGGGGACTTTTTATTCAACAAAAGCAAACACAAAATTGAATAGGAAAAATATGAAAATGACTGACTACACAGAACAGCACTTCAAGTAAATCATAAAAATCATCTGAACTACCTGCCTTAGAATTCAACCACTCCAGTAAAACTGAAGCCCATTTTGATTAAACTGAAATTCAAACTCAGTCAAGTGGACACTTTTTGGTAGTTAACTGGTTCACTGGTTAGGAGAATGTTCAAAGGGCTCACCCATTTAGAAAGTGCTCAAAAAGATGCAACTGTCCATCTTTACACACAACTGCCAGCCTCACTGCCTGTGGAAAAAATAAAAATAAATAAATATTAATAAATAAGTAATTTTACTCCACAACGTTGGTGTGGTTCTAATGACCAGTTGTCTTCTGACCTCTTCCTTGCTGTTGGATGGGACCAGATCAACGTGCCTGGGTTCATCAGTCAATGTAAAAGACACCACTGAGTTCTTGTCCTTTCCGTCTTGCCGAACTTGCCTGCGATGAAACAACAGTAGGTGAGACATGGTGCGACTGCAGAAGAATGTCTTGCTTGACAACAACGACGACGACTGAGGACAAACGCTCACCATACGCTGAGGAGTCGATCGTGAGCTGCCCCAGACAGGAAATAAAGGCTGTTGCTGTCGGGAGGTCGTGTGGTGGCAAAGCACAGTGTCGTCACAGCAGAGGAGTGGCCTGTGAATGTCTGTTCAGGGGGATTTACAATGAGTCAGTCATGTCCATCATGCTCTACAACAAAACCCCAGTCCAAAGGCCACTTTTGGACCGCAAACCACCCACATGCACCTATTGTCCCTGTTTATGACATGTTGCTCAAAGTTAAGTTGATCATTTGGGCCTAGGCAGCAGATCGGACAGGAAATTGTTTAGGCAGCAGATCGGACAGGAAATAGTTGGGTTTTTTTTCCCATGTTTGAAACTGAAATCCAGACAAATATCGGATCGATACTGATTCAGAGTTGCGGAACGAGCCCTTCCCACAAAATGCACAGATCAAAAATGACAACCAACTTTACTCACTCTGTAAACCTCCTTGGTTTCCAAGTCCCACATCTTGATCACGTGTGCAGCTGAGAGAAGCAGTTTCCCATCATGGCTCACACACAAACTGGTCACAGCCCCACGGTCAGCCTTCCATTTACTGTCACCAAGAGAAAAAGAATAGTTTTAATATAAAAAGTAAAGGTAATAAAAAAGTAAATAAAAGTAAAACTGTAATAGCAAGTTGTTGTATGAGCAAGTAGACACAAACAGAAGAAGCTGCACATCTGCTGAATCTGTTAGAAGACTATGAATTCATTAAACTGACAGATGATAGGCAAAAACACTGACCTTCAACATCATTTTTTACACTTATCTATACAAGAACAATGTTTGTGCCTCAACCGTTCAGTTTACTACTACCAATTTTTACATAATTTACATAACTCCCTGTAAGTAAAAATATTAACATAAACAGGAAGTTGGAGCACTGTATCAGGTCCATGCTCTGAGTGTAGGGCACTATAATTTCTCAATTACGCAATCGCAGAATTAGCCCATTCTGTTGGAATCTATTTTTTAACATGGATTTTGACATAATTTGCCTGAAATTCTTTTTTTGTGGAAGATGAATATATGTCTGGGGAAACCTGCACGGAGGTAAGTGGATCTGGAAAGCACAGCAGTACAGACTGAGGCCGTTCCCCTTCAAAACAATGACACGTGGTGAAGTGGCTGCTCACGACGCTGTGCAGTTCTGTGAAAAACCTTCAAAGGTTGATCTTGAAGAGAGTAGCTCACAAGGAGCAGCTGGTTCTTTGGATATAATAAGTTGTTGGTGGTTGTTCTTTGAAACGTCAACTAGAGTTTCAGGACTTGCTGCTTGTTTGTCAAGCACTTTTTGTACTTGTGCTTGTATGTTGTGTACATTTTAGTCATTTACAAGGGAAACACACATTTTACACACATTTTAGTCATTTACAAGGGAAACACACTGTTTTTGGTAGTAAAATAAGGTAAACAAAAACCCAAAACATCGAAATGCCCAACAATAAAACTGGGGGAAAAAAACTGTGCACTTTTTAAATACAGTAAATAGCAGTGTATACATCTGCTATTAAACAGAAAGATTAAAATGATAAAAATATAGCCAAGTGTTTCAGAACCAAACCTGATGCACACAATAATTTGCTTTGCTTTTGTGTGTAGAGAGCTCAGTGCAGCCAAGGCAGATATAACGTGTAGAGAGATGAAAAAAGCAAGCGCACAAAGTACAAACTGCTTGACAAACAAAGTGAAAATGTCCTTTTACATTAGGTTTTCCATTCAATATCTTTACAGCTTCCTAACTTATTTAAGGATAAAATGTTCCTAAAGATAGGGGTGCTTGATTTTTCTGAAATCCAAAGAAAACATTCAAGCCTTTTTTTCTGCATTATAAGTTTGTTAAAAAAATGTCACATTTGTTAGAATTTGAACAATTCAAGTACTGTTGGACTACTATACATTTGTTTTATATTGCTCTTTACATCAGTACTTGCATGATTCTCTTCTACTGCTGACTTCCCATCCTGTATCCATCACTATTTCTCTTTAATCTAAGACTGAAATGTCACTGCTCCAATTAGCTGCTTCACATCACCTGACAGCAGCAGGAAATGTAGAGAGAAATCATCACTCACTACCAAATGTCTGAGAGTCAGCCAAACTTGAAAGTATAGAAAAAGTACTAACGTACAGGGAACTTTGGCAGCTCCACAAACTGAATCACTGTATGTGGACTGTATCGAGAGTGAAGTCGTCAGATAAACCATTAATTAACCAACAAGGTCTTTTATCAAATCAACCCTCATTTAATTACAGTTCAGCCATCCTCAAAATGTGGGTCCTTGACATTAAAGTCAACATTATTCATAGCAAGTATAAAGGTGGTCCTGATGCTGACCCCTACTGGACACCATTTGCTACAATACCAGCTAACTGTGTGTCCAGTGGGAAACTAAAAAAACAGAACACCAGGAGACACAAATAATGTTTGGCATTTGTTGAAATATTACAAATCACACTTTGCCTCTAAATGTGTAAACAGAATGTTTAAACATAGGTAAGGAGTGTTATGATAATAAAAATCTATTTTCAGTATTGCCTGGAGTTACTATTAGCCTTTAAGAATCGAATTTAAAGGTGTCATTTTATTCCATCTCAAACAGGCCATTTTGTGTGACTCACTGAAGTGCGACTAAGTGACACAGATTTGTGCCGATTCCGATTGCCTTCAATTATATAATATATTCAGAAATTAAAGATTTCTTCAGTGCACAGTTTAATTTTCATAACAAGTAATTAAGAAATAAATGTCTTGGTGACTGCAGTGAGGTTATAAATTAAGTTAATATGCAGCCAACTTTCTGACAAAAAAAAATGATATATACAAAAAAAAAATAGTGCAATAAGTCTGAAAAAATGATATATTCCTGCAGGGTTTTTAGAAGTGAATTAAAAAGTAAAAATGAATGACTTCTCATTTTTCCTTAGCCTGAAATTGACTGACAAGTGCATACTGACCTTCTTGCCTTGCCAGTCTGCAAGTCCCATTCAATGATGTTTGTATCATGTGAGCCGCTGTATAATAAACTTTCTGTTGGGTGCCACTGGACACAATTGACCGCTCCGGTGTGTCCTTCATCCTGGTGGAGACAGAGGACAGGGTTGAATAAAAACAACAACCCCAATGTCAAACAACTGTACTATTTCACTTATATGAATATAAATGGGGTTCAAATTAAATGCAGCATACAAAAATATGAGCTGATGCATCATGATTGACAGCTGAGGTCACATGACTGCACCAGGGACAGGTACAAAAATGTCTGGAGACCCCAGAAATTTGTGATGTAAAATGGGGCTGAAAGCCAGAAAAATAAAATAAATATAAATATCTTCATTAAGACCAATTTAAAGTTAATATTCAAAACATAACTTGTCAGATTTGGGGGAAGTACAGCGTTTTAGTATATAATCAATTTGTGGTGCATGAAGAGGCTGTACACATTCAGATTATTTTCATGTCAACACTAAAGCTAGTGTAAAACTGAACTAAAATAACGGTTTGATTAGTGTACCTTAAAATTCAGTTGATGAAGCAAAACTGAACTAAAATAACGGTTTGATTGGTGTACCTTAAAATTCAGTTGATGAATGTTTAAATTTCTGTACCTAAGTATGCAACTTTCTAAATTCCTGTCCCAGCAGTAAACCTTTGAAAGATAACGATTGTACACAGAGTAAACCTTACCAAAGTACAGTGCAGTGCTCCCTTAGCTGCACTGTATATAAGCACAGTGCCTGCTGCTGTGCCCATTGCCAACAGATCGGATTTTTCCTCCACATGTCCTGCCTCTGATTTTCTCTTCTTCCTCGTTGGCCCTTCCTGAAAAGTGAAACATTTTTAACACCATGTACCACACATTTGTACCAGAGAGGGAACTGAACAGAGCAACACAGTTGATGAACACAACTTTCATAAAATAACGGCACTTCTGCTGAGCTCTTTGCTATAGACCACATGAGCCAACAAATGGAAAACTTTAAATCTAGCTCCAACATATATTAGGCACTTTATCTAATGGTTTATTATTAAAATTCGATGGTAGATCCTACACCCATCAGTGCTACACTTCCATCTAAAAGCATCCGCATCACATGCAACAGAAATTAAAAAGAAAAAAAGAAAGAGGAGCATCAATATTTTAGTGGAGATTAAATGATTAATAGAATTGTGTTGTTTGTCACGGAAAGTTTGCAGACGATAGCGTACATTTAGGGGCGTTCAACTAAAATGTAGTAAAATCTCGGCTTGGCAGTCAATCATCTGGTCGATTACTTTTAGACTTTTCACTGCATTTCCCTCTTTGTTGGACCCTGTGGTCGATTTAAACCAATGTGGACAAACTAGTAATCGAACAGTAGCCCAACTTGTTGAACCTATACTTTCAGGAGTGTCATGGTGGCAACACGCTTCTCATGCGTTACTGGGCTAAAGCTAACTTGTATTTTCAGCTTATTAATTTATGTTTAAAATATACTAAAGTAAACAACTCAACTATATTATACTATAAAGACAATACACCACTTTGTATGCACGAATCAGCCCCGTTTGAACAGTTTGGGATTTCTTGGGGCTACCATGTGGGACAAGCATGTGCGTCCTGTGCAGCTGTTGATAACCAGCTAACGTGCCTTAGCTTCATCTCGTAGTGTCAGCACACACACACAAAAAATCTATCATTAGACAATGTCACAAATATAGACTTAACGTGAACATCGCATTAAAGTCGCAGCCTCGTTTTGGGATTTATTGTGTACAAGAATAAAAACCTCAAACGCAAGTCTTGGGCCTTCGTAGCTCATGTGGCTAACAGCAAGCAACTATCAGCCTCACGTACCTTCACTGTTCGGCATGGTCCCCATGATATGCAGGTACAAGTGGCACTCAGGTGGGCTGAAGGCACGTATTCTTGATAAAGTGTTTTACTATCTGTGTTCCATATACGAAGTCTGCCATCCTGTGCGCACACCGCTAAGTATTGTTGTGATTTAGGTGAAAAAACGCAGGGTAGCAGCGGAGTACTGCCAGCGTCGGCCGCCATTTCTGCAGCGCTGATTGCGTCCGCGTAGCTGGTTTACACAAACCCCACGTGTTGGTGAGCTGCAGCGCACATGCGCGTTACTGCTTCATTTAGCACCTCCTTCCCATTGGCTGCTGAGGCTGCCAGACGAAAAGTCAGAAATTACGAGAAAGTTTCAAGACAAAATAATTTGCAGAGAACACAAAATACGTTGGCATAAGACATCAACTTTCAATTATCTAAAATGCTGTGCTGTGTTCCTCCTACAATACGTTGGCATAAGACATCAACTTTCAGTTATCTAAAATGCCCACAGTCAACTGTGCCCTACGAATACGCACCCAACAAACCTTTACTCAAGTGGTTCAAACGTCTTGTTCATCACGGAGGTCATTTGGTAACTGGCTGCATGGAAATAATAAAAATATTTTTAGTACATTTTGTTTAAAAATTTACCTTCCACTTTATGGTGTTTTGTTTTGAAAAACGGTCACTTCCGCTCGTTCCTAGACATAAACTACAATCTAAGAATGAAAATTGTGTACATTAAAGTCTTTAATTCCAATATTTGTTTTACTTCACATATGTAATAATTAAATTTTACTGGATGGGGCTGTGTTTTGTTATGGGTGTGTCCTTTCTTCACACAGATACACACCCACACCGCTGTTCCGTGGGAAATGCGTCTTGCAGAAAACCGATCCGTGGCGCACATGAAGTTGTACACCACTTAATTTCTTTAATCTTTAATAAACGAATTCCCTACTTGCTTAAAAGTACCCCATATGCCTTCCTCTGTTTGGATAAAAACACCCCTTTTTAAATTAACGCATATTATTAAAACTGATATATTAGAACAACAAGAACGCATATTATTAAAACTGATATATTATAACAACACCACGCACTGTATTAATTTAGAATTCTACTTTCAACAAAATATAAATATTATAAGTAAACTTTAAATAATAATAATATAGGGTTACATATATTCTTTTTTTTTTTTGTTGACCCCTTTCTCCGATGTATTAATTTGTTTGACATTTTCACTCCGTTTAATGTAATTTGAACCCAAGTAACGTCATAGATATCGACACCAAATCACGCCTACTACACGCTCAAGTACAACTACAACACTGACCTCTGCTGTTCGATGTGGATTCTTACAGGAGTCGCTTAGTTATGACGTCGATCACATGCGTATCCTTCAGCCAGGATAGTTTCATCTCTCTACAAGCAACTGGGAAATGCACGTTTTTACAGGAGTTTAACTGCAGTAAATAGAGTGAGGCGATGGGGAGTATCTTATATTTATTAATTCATATCCGATGACTGTACTAAATCTAATAACGTTATGGTTATTAGATTTACGTTACTGTAAAAAAATATATAATTTGTAAAAATGTTGAAAACGTCCATACGTACGTTGCTCTTGACTCATAGGGTTGTAAGAATTTGCACATCTTGTCAAATCCACGCATGGGAAACAAACATACTTTTTAAATTGACTGAAAGTCGTACTTTTTCAACTGGGTCGGTAAAATGCCACGATAACGAGGAAGAGTATTTAGACTCTTCACGCGTTAGCAGCACGCTGACAAGAGAAGACTCACTGGTGACCAGGGGGAGCAGGAAGAGACCACTGTCTCCTCTGGAGAGGGTCAGCCGTCTGCTGCCCCAGGATGCCCTGAGCCCGGAGGTGATGCAGCTGAGAGAGCAAGACCGACAAAGACCTGATGGAGACATCGAAATGTCAGTTGCGCACTTGGAACATGAAGCTGACCAACCTCTTCAGTCGCTGGTGGCTGAAGAGACACCCCCCGAAAATAGTGTCCATTTTAACCAACTAAGCTCCTCAGAGAGCGGGGCAGCAGTGGTTCTTCCAGGAGAGAACTTACTTGTATTTGGCGAAATCCTCATGGCCGAGTTGTACAAAAAGAACCAGGTGGAGTTCAGGAAAATGTTCACTCTGAAGGCAGGGGTTCTCCTGCAGAGCAGCTGGGGGGTGATCCTACATGATGACATTGTTGGAAAGCCGGCTGGTGTGGTTCTAAAGACCAACAGGGGTGTTCCAATATTTATACGACGGGTCAGTCTGGAGGATTATGTGTTGCACATGAGGAGAGGGCCTGCCATCACCTATCCAAAGGTACACGGTCACAGGTCCACTCTAGTCTTATCTTGTAGTTGTTCAACAGTTGTTTAAGTCTTTTTTCTTCCTCCCTTCTTTTGCTAGGATGCAGCAGTTATGCTCATGATGATGGATGTGAAAGAGGGCGACTGCGTACTAGAGTCAGGCTCTGGCTCAGGGGCCATGTCTCTGTTTCTGTCCAGAACAGGTCTGCGCCAAGTTTCCTCCCTTGATGATCAAAAGCCACCTTAAAGGAACAATCTTAGAAATGCTCTCAGTATCTCAGTTACAAGGGAAAGGCCCAGAACTGAATCCCTAGCTTTGAAAGTGACAGAGTGTTTACATAATTCTTTAAAAATTAGCACCTAGTAAGTACTTGATTCAGTTCCACATCTGTTTCTAGAAGGGTTTATAGAATGTATAAACCCTGTTTGGTGATTTATATGTTTATATGGTTTAATATATGTGTAGCTGACTCCAGTATGTTCCTTTTGTAGCACTGCATGGAAAATGGCTACCCAACTACATTTATACCCTTGGTGATAACTTGGAAAATAACAGTAGAAAATTTAAATATATATATGTATACATATATATATTATAACCATGAATACTTATGGAATTTAATCAATTTAAATTCATTTCAAACCTATATTTTACACAAAAAAAAGACATGGGAATATAGTAAAAAACAAAAAGTGAATTACTTGTCACTGTGACATTGTGACACAGCACATCCATCACCATAGTGAGCAGAGGGCAGCTTAAGCGCCCGGGGAGCAGTGTGTGCCATGCTCAGAGGACCTTCGTTGTAACTTGGCAGCTTGTGGTTTCAAACCTGAAACCTTCCAGACCCAAGTCTTCTTCTTTAACCACCAAGCCACCACTGCCTCAAACTGACACATTAAAATGAACAAGTTACCAAAATTGCCACTTGCAGTGCATTTCACAGCAGTTTAGAAATGTTCTGTCTGATTCTTGATCCACATCACACCCCTCCCTCATTCCCTCCCTTCTTCCCTTCCCCCGTCAGTTGGCTCCAAAGGCAGAGTGTTGAGCATAGATGTCAGAGAAGATCATCTAAAGAGGGCCACGAAAAACTGCAAACGTTGGAGGACATCCTGGAATCTCCAACATAGGGAGGAGTGGCCTGACAACATCCAGTTTCACCACGCCGACCTTTGCAAGGCTTCCTCTCTCCTCGCTGGTCACAGATTTAATGCGGTCAGTGTTTATAGGGAGCACAGTGAATTGATGAATAAAATCAAGGTGACATCAGTACAGACTGCATTTAATGACACTTTATCTTTTTTTATGTCCCAGATTGCTCTTGACCTGGTTAACCCTCACCTGGGTTTACCCACTGCACTTCAACATTTGCATCCTGGTTGTGTTTGTGCCGTCTACCTCGTCAAGTGAGTATATACAAAAGAGGAAAATAAATGATAAAGCATTGTTGTTTGGACCAGCAACACCTGTACAGTAATTAGAAGCTGGAACCATTCCAGTGAAAACTGACGACCGACTCCCCCACTTAAACCTAGTATAACACAGGTTGTTGACCTGCTGGAGGGCATTCGATGTTCAGCTCTTCCTTTGTTATGTGAACGCATTGTTGAGGTTCCAGTTCGACACTGGTGGGTCTCTCCAGCCATGAAGAAGACTGGTCAGTACTGTACCAGGAGAACTCCTGTCTTAGAAGACCACCTTGAAGAAGTGTTGAAGGAGACAGAAGATGAGACTGACAAAGGTGAGTTAAAATAAAAAAAACCCCACTAATTATCAATTAATATTCAGATTCGGACCTGATTGTCCTGTTTGTTGAAGATGAAACAGACACAGGTGAAGAGCTCAGTGCACAGGGACAGCCTGTGTTTGGGAGTGTTCCCTACATCGCTAGACCTCATCCTGAACAGTTGAGCCACACAGGTCAGCAGTGGCTACTGGTCCTGTGTCAGTCGTTTCATACATCACGTGAACAAGTAAATGAATGCTAATTATGTGGTTTTTCCTTCTTTCATTTTCAGCATTCCTTGTGAAACTAAGGAAGTATGTTCAGTAGCAGCTCCGCTCCAAAGAAGTTCATTTCAACAATCTTTGGAAAATTGTTACTACATTGTGAACTTAAACCTTAAACCTATTTTATTGGGATGTTATGTGATGAACCAAAACAAAACCAAAGATAAATGTGAAGTGGTAAGAAAATTATGTACTGTTTTTTTTCAAATAAAATTCTGAAAAGCATGTATTTTGCCCCTTGTACCTTGATTCAGGATTCATGGTCTGTATTTGTCACATGAGGACGTACAGGTACACCCACAGTGAAATGAAATTGCAAAAAGCGCCTGTGCAAACTTCACATCCAACTCACTGTTATTGTGTAAAATGATTGTGGTTCAGTGTAATTCACTGCGCCCTCTTTGTTACACTACATCATTACAGTATTTATATCTAATATAATGCTAAGCGACACAATGAGGAAAGTATTTCAGTACATAAAGTATTTAAATGATGTTTTTCTGTCCTTTATAAGTTGCTCAACACTGAACTGTAGACCCGTCCAGAGTACCTTTCTAGAAGCTGAAAGAATATTGAACCGCCTGTCAAGCATGGAGAAACTGTCCCAGCAAGTGTATGCACCGTGGCTGCTCTCATGGCTGCCATCCATTTTATTTTATTCAGCAAGAGCAAAATAAACTTTATTGCTTGTCTGAAAACCACTCAAATGTAGGGGCAGAATGACTTCACTATTGAGGAACCTGTTCAACAACCACAAATAAAATGCACTTTATGAGTGAGACATTTAATGCACACAGTCCACATCTATTCTTTGTGACACATCTAACAGCACAACATATTTTTTTTTGTCATTTCTATGAGAAATCTAAACCTTGTGTTTTTAAGGTGGACACATACACAATACACATTTAAGTGTGTGTGATTTAAAAGTAGCCTGAGGTTAAAAATGGGGAAACTTGTTTTTCTGGGATATAAAAAGCAGCCTGTGACCAGCCCTCATTATCCAAATGAGCTTATGGTCTTACAAGTAGGTGAGTTTTATATGCTGTGCTGTGACATATGCTGATGCTGAAAGCCTAGGTAATCCTCTCAGCTGCCTGTCCTTTGAGAGGCAAAGGAGGATATTTTGACGCACGGGCGTGTGGATTTTTTTTTTCTACGCATAGAACCACAAGTATGGAGATATTTCTTCTAAAAGTAACAAGTGACAGGCATTTTTCCAAAGCAAACAATTTTGTTTTGTTAACTTCTTTTTTGGAAGCACTCTTCAGACTCAACATGGACACAACACCTTCAGTCTGAGAATGACGGCTAGTGCAGGAGGCTAAGGGCTGCGACTGTTTGTTTTTTTATCAGTCCTTACACTCGCTGGTCACAATGGGCTGCTCACCTTCCAAAGACAACAATGTTGGGACATTGGGTCCTTTCAGGAAAAGCAGAATGCTACCTCTTACACCTCCTGAAAGCTGCAAGCCACCAACAGGGGGTGAGAAAGGTAATTTAACTATGACCACAGATTTGATTGTAAAAGACAGGACAATACCTGCCCAGAGTCAGGTCACTCATAAGGAAACCCCACGGGCACCACAGAAGAAGAAATCTGTGACTGATCTTTCTCTGGAGGCTGTAAATATGGATAAACTACATAGTTATGGCCTTGACGACAACACAGTGTGTCAGGGCAAGGAGAGAAACAACGACAAGTTGGATGCACCAGAGAAGAAGTCAGTGAAAAAAACAAAGAAAATCGGAAAAGGTGCAAAGGTGCCTAAGAAGAAAGATAAATGTAAAATACTCCTGGACAACAAAGTGGACTTTCCAGAACCTCTGATAACGGCTCACCAGGAAGCTTATGCATTTTTAAACCCCAGCATAAACAAGTACGATGTTCTTCTTGGACTTCTGGAACAAGCAACTGAAACTCGTCTTTCAATGCGACCTATGGTTGCTTTTATGGTACTGCGATACGAGGAAATAATTCACGGCCTGGAAGAGATTGCAGCTGCAGGTGAAAAGGTTTTAAAAGACAACGGAGGAAATCTTGCTTGGACCAGCCAAATGAAAAACCTTTCACCTTCATCATCCCTCAAGTCTGACCCTAAAGACATTGAGCCTCCACCAGATTTATTGCAACAGCTGCTTCAGTACACCACACAGAGAATGAAGAACGTGAGTCAGACTGTCGGTGGTCTTGGGGATGCCGCTCTGGAGGAAACTGTGGAGTATTTCGACTCCCTTTCAGAGCTTTTACAGGAGAAACTGAAAGCAAAGAGAGCAGCAGAGGCCAGACTTATGCAACTTTTAACCTGTATTGAATTAGCCTCTCTACGGAAGCCAGGCTCAGAGGACTGCGTACTGTTTAGTGAAGACAGTGGTATTGGAGCTGAGAGTGAATCTCTCGCTGGATCTGAAAGACACCGTAGAAGAGAGAGTAGTGAGTCTACTCAAACAAACAGAGCTACACCTGTCGGTCATACGGAGAACAACTCCAGTACACAAGGCGGGTCAGAGCCAAATCTTTCAATTCAAAAAAGCCCAAGTGTTTCCCTCACATCGCTCAACTCACTTGGCTCTTTCTGCGCTGTTACCTACGATGGTACACAAAGAAACTCCTTATTTTCATCAGTTTCTTTTGACGACGGTGATGAAGATGAAAACAATAATGAAGAAGACGAAGGGATGCAAAATGTCCATGTAAGGTTTAGAAATAGGTCAAATTCTTCACCCATACAGAGTAGACAACAACCGTGCCGCCAACCTTCGAAGCGCATCAAGAATCCAGAAAATATAGAGATGACGCTTAAGATGAAAAATGCTATAAGTCGTAAAATACAATTTGTCCCAGGACACAATACTAATGGGAAATCCAAACTGGTAGGAAGCCCAAAAACCAGTAAAAACCAATGGAAAGATGACAAGGACCAATCTCCACAGCGGCCACAAACGGCAACACCAGATCGCAAGGCACGGGTGAAAAAGAAAGTAGCCGGACAGCAGCGCTCCCAATCAGCAGAGTCCCTGAGAAGCAGAGGTGAAGATCCTACACTACTGGAACTAGAAAGGACTCAGAAGGACTTAAACCAGAGGTTGCGGAATCTGTATGAATGTGACGCAGGTGTTAACGTTAGGACGGTTAAAACTAAGCAAAATCAGGGGAGATCGTTGGCATACTCTACTGCAATGAACTCCAAACAGCCATCATCAAAAAAACAAAGCAATATTCAACCACCGAACATCAAAGCGGACTTAACAAAGAGAACCAATAAAAAACAAGGTGTACTTAATGTGGTGGACAATGAAACTCAAAAGGCAAAGTCAACCACACAAGGTCCTGTTAAAGCCACCCCACCCCACAGCCCCCCACCAACTGGTCCCTACAGAGGTAGGAGTTCTGTCAAGAAACTGATTGATACATTTAGTCAAGGAATAGAGGAACACGAGAGTCCTAAAAATCTGGGGCCACTAAAAGGAGTAAGGAAGTGTGGTGTCCCCGTGTTACCAGGGATAGGAAACATGGAGGCTGTGCTGAGCACGGGACTAACCAGCTGCAGGCCTGATAACACTTTATTTGCGAAAACCAATGACTTGGACTCGTGTAGTCTACCTCCACCTTCACTGGAAGTATTGATGGACAATTCCTTCGAGAGTCTCCAGGGTCTTTCTACAGGTGGAGCAAATGACGGGACTACAAAACTCGGCAAGTCTTTGTTGAAAAGGACAGTGGCTTCACAGAAGCTCAGGTCCTCTCTTGAGTCGGTGACAGTTCTGCCAAGCAAAGGCAGCTTACCACAAGCTTCCAAGGCTGTTTCTGTTGCAAGATTTATTCAGCTAGAGTCATCTGCTGCCTCAAAGTTCAGCCAACCTGATGTTCAATCAGAGGATGATCCATTATGCCACAAAACAAGGAAGGTTATACATATCAAAAATACTTCAGACTCTCAAACGGAGTTAAGACACAGTTTACCTTCAGGTCAGAAACAATGTGAAGACATTGAGGACGGCTCCAACTTGTCCAGGTCTGGAGAAAACGCTGCAGTGTCAACCGAGTCTCTTTCTTCAGCATTTAGTGGCCAGTCACCATTTACCCAACCTAAATCCAAGAGTCGGCTGTTGCCGTCCACACCTACAAAACCCACTAGCGTACATCAAAACATTTCCAGCCCTAATTTTAAAAGACAGCCCACTCCTCCCACCTCCTCCAGCCCTGCTTTACGAAGGAAACCAACAACTCCACCTGCAGCTCAGAGGAGACTACCCAGTCCACCTTTTACAAAACAGTCAACCCAAACTGCATTTCCTTTGAAAACACCATGTCCACCTGCCTCACCAAAAGTGCAAAGACAGTCAACAGAGAAGAGCAGCGACGACTCTTCAAGTGTGAGAGTGACCGGGAATGCATGTTCAGTCTTCTGCCCCATATCTCCATCCCTATTTGAGGCCCAGTCCAGATCTATTCCATGTCCAACTCAAGCATGGACCTCTGCAGGTGTGTCATATGCCCCATGTCCCCCAGGAAGTCAATCGCGGTTCCCTGTTTCTGTTCAAGGCCCTCGCCCATTCCTCCGACGGAGTCATTCAGACAGAAGACCAAGTCTAAACTTGCATCGAAGGTCACCATGCCTTACGCTGGCTGAGACGTTTGGGAGTGAGCCAGCAATATTTTCACACGAGTGAGTGTTTATTATTACCTTTTTATTAAAAACTAATAACACTCAAAATTAATCATGTTGATTTGTGAAGATTAATCCAATTAAAACCTTTAATACATTTTAGAATATGAGCAGAACGACCTGCACTGTATATCCAATGATTCCACCATCGGCCCACTGAACCGTGTTCTAACACACATGCCAATACACTTGTTTAAAGGTTTTGTCATAATTAGAATCGTGGATTTTTCTGGATTAAGCACGATGAATCATGATTAATCCACATCCAGACTGTAAATAACCAAATAAAACATTTGATCTTTGACCACTCTAATTTCACTTTCACAACAAATCACTTTTGGCTCTCCTCTTTATCAGGGGTCACCACAGCAGCAGTCCACATAGTGGAGCAGTGAGTTTTCATACAGAATACTTTTCCTTTTATAACCCAACCTGGGATTTAGGGATTATTCTTTCACAATGAAAATGCAACGGAAACCGAGTTCTGGAATCCCTGCTTTCAGTTTCCTTTTATAACCCAACCTGGGATTTAGGGATTATTCTTTCACAATGAAAATGCAACGGAAACCGAGTTTTGGAATCCCTGCTTTCAGGATGGGTCTACTACACACCACATGAGCTTAATCCGAGCCACTGTAACCTAACCTAACATTCTCTATTGATCCTAACAGGCTGGTTGATGATACAAGCAGAGACAGCGAATCGTGGCTGAGCCAACCAGACCTCAGAACAACCCCACGCTCTGCATCACACCCAGATCTGTGTGTTGTGGGTCAGGCCTTGCACAAAGACTGAACGGTCCGGTGAAGAGCTACTGGGATTATGGATTAACGGCCTTATAAAAGACTTGGAGTGGTGGAGATTATTCCTTCCTGAATACTTTAACAATACCTTGTTTCTGTGTTTGTCTGTCTGTGGGCATTTATGTAAACACTTTTGTATTAGAAGGTAAATACACAACATTCTTGATAAACAAACAAACAAACAAACAAACTTTAATATATCAATGTTTTGTGCCTGGTAATGGCTTTGAGCAAAAGTCATCATCAATTACAGTAACTCCCCTTTATTAAATCATGTTTTTGCATTTCTTGTATTTTTTAATTTGTTTCTATATTCAAATTAACATTCTTTGTATTTATCTTAAGTGAGGCCAAATTAACTGTTATTAGTTAACGTTATGGTTGCTTTTTTCTAACCTCCATCTTGATTCTTTGGTTATCTTCAAACATGTTTTTTGCTAACTTAAAATATGTGTATATTTATGTGTTTGTTTAACTTCAAATATATTTTGGTAAACATTAAACGTTTATGGTTAACATCAAATTTAGTTTTGCCATCTTAGAGTTTGTCTTTGGCTAACTTCTAATTGGTATTTGGCTAATTTAAAACGAGTTTTTTGCTAACACGGAATTGGTATTTGGTAAACTTCAAACAACTTTGACTAATGTGCATTGTTTGTTTTGTTTTTGTTGTCTTCAAATGTAATGTGTTTGATGTTGGGTAACTACAAACCACTGCTCACCAGTAATGGGACCATTTCAAGATAAAAGCAGAGACAAATTCCATTGTGTGTATATGTGTCTGTAAACAGTATGAACAATGGAAATAAAAATGTTCTGAAATAGTTCTATGTAAAACATTTTTATGTCTTCAATAATATTTACAGATTATCATTCAGGTGTGGTTAAAAATGTGATGTTTGCATTGATTTCAGTTATGATTTAATAAAACTTAACACAACAAAACACAAAGATTATCTGAAAACTTTTCAAAGCTCTCTGAGACATGTCTTCAAGTTTGCCTAAAACAGACTTACAGGAAATTAAAGTATCTTACTTTAAAACAAAAGCTTCGTTTAAGATAAAATGATTATGTGAAATTTGCAAAGCTGACTCAGAACTTGAAGCAGAACAAGGTGGAGATGAACCACAGCAGAGTGCTCTTTGACAGCAACGGTAAAATCAGTGCAGCTGTTAGGGAGAAAATGTGAGTATTATGTGTCACCTGAGAACACTGCGAAAAGCAATTAACCAACTTTAAAGTTCACAATAGACAGTGGTAAATGTACTACTGCAGACCTTTAGCCCAGAGAACTGAAACACCTCTTTAAATACCAATAGCACAGCTACAAGTCTTTGAAGCATGAGCGATTCTCCACAGCTGGGAGTAGGTTGTTAGAAAATATCATTTTGGGTCAAGATCAGAGGTCATACATAGAAACTACGGCACACTTAAGATCCCACTTCTGACATTAACCCTTAAAGACCATTTGACACACAATTGGGAGATTTGATGAGAGAACTGAATATGGATCACAGCAACATGTGTTGACAGTTGATGGAGAAATTAAATTATTTTCCTGTGAGGGCAGTTAAAATTGTTCTTCCCGTCTTACAAAATACATGGGATCCTTGACTGAAGTCTAAACTCACATACTGTACATCAGTACCAATGTCAGTCACCTACTCTAACACAGTGGTGACATCCTAATCTAAGACATGAAAACATCAGAAGAGTCTGACTGACACCTGGGAGACATAATGAAGGGCAAAAAGTTCTCCTTTTCCTTTGTGCTCACTCTTATTTCCTGTGAGATCTTTCCAAATACTTCCCATCATTACAGCTCACTTGTTACGTTTCTCCAAATACTTCCCATCATTACAGCTCACATTTTACCCTTCAATTGGAAGATCTCACTGCCTTGTTGATGGCTAGATTTCCATCTTCCAGGAATATTTAGTGGTCAGACATTCTAGGAATACAAAAATCTCTCCGACTTTATCAAGAAATACGTACGATAATGACTTCATTCCCTCAGTTTTTCCCACAAACTCTGACTGACAGGATAATACAACAGTGACAAACAACTTTCTCCAGTCGTTGTCTTTCACTTGGACTCACCTGGCAAGCTAATAACCAAGCCTTCCTGTGAGATTTATGTCAGCGATCTGCACAGTTGGGAGCAACAGAACAAATTAAATTTTTTGACAGTCATTTTGTACAACTGCTGATAAATGTTCACAATTAACTTCGAAGAAATGCAAATCAGCACAACAATAACAAACACATCAAGTCATAAATCCACAGGACTAGATCTGATTAGTTAACACAGGCAGAGAAAGGCCTAAATAAAGTGTGTGTAATGCCGATGACACATTTTCATTTTCTTCACAATACTTTATGTTACCCATGTAGCATGGGTAACATGTAGCATCCCACTGCTTCACAATACTTTATGTTACCCATGTAAATTTGACTTTGGGAATTATAGCATCCCACTGTCACAGTAGTCAAGCTGCACTAATCCTGTTGTAGGATTAGTGCTTATCTTTCCTGCATGTCTACATGTAGACCACGTCTAACGAACTACATAGGTCTACTGGGTCTTTCACTTCCACTTTCACAACATTATATGTGCAATATATATTTATTCCACTCATGGAGTTTCCCATAGTAAAAACAACTGTGGGTGTGTATATGTACGTGTATATGTATCAATATATGTATATATGAATTGGACACATATTTGTATGCACACACACACACACACATATATATATATATCTATAGTCCAACAATCATATTTGCCGTCACTGTATAACTGTCAGTATGCTCTTGTACCAAATGTTCAAAACCCAGTAATGGGAATAATTTATAGATTTAAAAAACCGCAATATTTCTACTGCTACTCCACTGCCTCATGTACTATGTCGTACTTTGCTGCTTTAACACAGCGAATTTCTCTCCCGAGAGAAGAATTCATGTTCTTATCGTATTTTAGCCCTTGTACTTAAAGGCCGTTTTGAAGACATAAAAGTAAATAAAATTGTTCTCCACGAGAGGGCAGTCCAGCCGCACAATTCATTCACCATCGTCATCTGAGCTCAAATAAAATCAATGCGTTTATTACGTTTTAATAATGAAACTTTATTGAATTTGTTCTTTCTGATTTTCTCTCAAAATGCAACCCAAGATTAAAACAATAAATAAATAGAGGTTCAATAGAGGTCTGTCTGTGGGGCTGCAGTACATGACTGCCATTATTGATTATTGATATCTATATAGATATGCAGTATATATCACTGTAGATGTAAGGGCTTTGTTAAAAGAAACACATTGCTTCTGAACCAAATACGTTTTACAGTCGTACATTGATAGGTTTTCTCTTGTTGTCCACAGCAGGTCCTGGTTTTAAATCCACTCACTCATCCCTACAATGACGTGTGCCCTAGATAATATGGATCTGTATTATGTAAGGAGGAATTCCCAAACTGCTCAATCTTGTTGGACTCCTTACTGTATTGATGTTTTAGATTCAAGCACCAATGAGTTCCTGCCAGCTTTCTAGTTTGTTCTAACCAAGGTCTACCAGAGCCGGAGCGGGACTCATTTTCAGTCCTGCAGTTTGATGTCCGAGGCTGACCCTCCATATAGATCACAACCTATTATATTAAAATAATGTAAGTGAGTTGAGTTGACCTGAACTGCTGCTGTCTGTGATTCTTCACACAACTGAATGTGCATTAATAAGAAATGAATCAATGCAGTCTCCATGGTTCAAGTCTGTGCTGTTGGCTTGAAACATGTCTGTGATGACAGATGGCATGCCGTCATTTCTGGGTGACTCTCAGCCAATATTTTTAATACAGTTTTGTAGTTATGAGTGTCATGGAGTATTTGTTTTAACGCCATCTGCTTCCCCTCAAACCTCATTGTCCAGGGATGCACCAGACGACCCAAACTCTTTATGAGAAAAGGATTTTGTTCGATGTATCAGTGCTGTGGTCGAAACCTTAAGTTGGGGGAAGGTTTCCTGGGTGAGTTGAGATACTGTGATAGATAATCGTACAGACCATGTACTGAATGGTGAGAAACAGCAAGCTCAACTACAGAGGTCCTCGACTTAGTCGGAACTCACTTACTGGACATAATTACCTACGTCACTCACCTATGCTAACACATTGGTAACGTCAAGAGTCGGACTTTTACTTAACACAACCCAGTCCAGTATGTCGTACAACTGGTGATGTCAACAAAGTCGTCTTCCGCGTGAAGCGCCGAGTGGCAATGTATACAACTGGTGATGTCAACAAAGTCGTCTACCGCGTGAATGTATTCATTCACTCAGCTTGCCAACTTGTTCCCAAACAAACTAGTTAGCAAGTTTTAACGGCCTCGGTCGGAATCATGGACAAGACTTCCTCAGTACATTTATGGGAGATGGTGACGTAGTCATGAAATGCTGTAGGTCTTGGGCGTCGTAAACCGAGGACGCCCTGTATGTCTTTTAATTCAAGTAAGAGCTCACATAGTTTGTCCCCTTCTAGAACTCTTGAGCCAATGACACCATGTTGCAGTTATCAGGCAGAAATCCTGCGACAGGATGAAAAAAGGGGAGATGATGAAGGGGGACATAACTGTCACTGTCAGTGTTGTACAAGGGTGTTATAAAAATATTGGGTTCTTATCTCAGACAGACCAGTTACTGCCACTGATCACTGGGTTTGTCCCTGAGTGACAGGACAAAATCTGAAATACATGGGCCTATTGAAACCAGCTGGTCCTTGGACTGCAAGGTTGTCAGGTACAGTTGAATAGACAGTCACCAAACGTTCCGATGTACACACCTCCAAATGATCATGAAACATCTGAAAAGACATCTTTCAAACCCAATTAATCAGACTAATCAATTAATCAAATCAAATATGAATTACTGTAACCAGTTTCTTTGTGAAATATGTACCAAACTTTAAGATTTTCAGAGCTCATCACATTTTTGATGCAGTTTTGTTTTAAGGTAAAGTAATGTATGAAACTAAAATGGCAACCAAACACTGAGAAAACCTGTATGGTGTTTCTTTCTTTCATTTATGGCACTGAACTGAAGTTGAAGAAGTGACGTAGTAGTAGAATGAACTGAAATGACATCCCAACACTTAAATAGCTCTTTAAATGAACTGAAATGACATCCCAACACTTATAGCTCTTTAACAGTGGTTCTCTAACTGTGGCACATGTACCACCAGTGGTGCATGAGCGCTCTCTTGTGGTACGTGGGGAAAATTCATATTTTCACATTTACATTTTCAATTGAATAAATCTGAAACATACCATGCACAACTAATACAACATTTAAACTAAACCTCTTTGTAAACCTCTCTCCTGTGGTGGAAGCTAACAGTGAAGGCCTCTGCTGCTGTATTCTAATGTTGGTCATCATGGTGGGACTCAGAGAGATCAGTGTTTTCTCAGGTGGGACAGAGTAGAAAAAGCTGGAGAACCACTGGTCTATAATATTAGGAGTACTGAAGCATCTGAGTTATTAGTAAAGCGCTTCATTTCTGAGTTTGTCAGGTCAACTTTGTTCTTTTATTGAGATGTACTGTTGTGTATTCCAGGGAGGATCGCAGGTTTGAATCCTGCCAGACAGGCTGCGGTGTGCAGAGCAACCACCGAAATCGTTATGCTGAACATTCACATTCATCTCTAGAAGAAACTGAGACGACAAAAACCAATTAATTATGCACATACGGTTTCCAAGATACCAGTGGAAGACACTTTGTTCTGTCTTTTCTCTGGAAGAATGATGTTAAATCTCTCACCAATGACATTTCATCTGCAATGACAGAATCAGTGATTATAACACTGGAGGAATCGTAGTGAAATACTGTGGAACACTGATTACACTTTCTGACTGTCTGACACAAGATGAAAACCTAGGAAAAGGAGAAGAACCCCTGATATTGGGGTCACTTTATTTTATAACAAAACCACTCCTTAAAAGGGTTGTAATGATTCCCTCCAGTACTGATTGTTGGAAATAAAGGGTGTCTATGTTCAAGAGCGAGTTCTGAATGAGCGTGAGCTTCAGTGTCAGGACAACTTGTTTTTTATGTTCACAATAAAAAATTTAACAATTCTTTGTTGAATAGGAGACGAGTATTCAAAGAAAAAGACAACAAAAGGTAAACAACAATAGAGGTAAAACAACAGAATAACAAACAAGAATAACAAATGTATCAGCCCACTGCACAAGGATGTATATATAATATATTTCACAGGAAATGTATTTTGTTGATCATATAGTCTGTGACAGTTTGACTTAAAAATCTGACCTAAAACAAGGGAGGTCCTCAGTTTACGACGTCCTTGCGGCAATTTGTGGTTACGTCGCCATCTCCAATAAATGTATTAGTAAGTCTTGTTCTATCATTCCAACAAAGAGCATTAAAACTCACATTGGACCTAGTTGGTGAGGTCACAAGGTGCTATCAACGGAAGGCGACCTTGTTTACTTCAGTAGGTTGAACGCCATACATTGAATTGTGCTGCATCCACTTTCTTTCATGTGTGTTGCTTTTCTGGGAAAGAAAGTGAAGCTGTATCTCCAATATATATACAGTATATAATAAACCAAATCAAAGACCAATGCAAAAATACAACTGCAGAAGAGTTGGATTTCAGATGTATAAATACACATACTAGCTGCGTTCCAGGTCTTTTATCAGACAATTTGTGGGCTTAATTATGGTCAGGACATGGAACTCTGGGTAATAGCATCTGAAGGCAATTTGTGTGGAATGGACCTTATCTGCAGGTGACACTGGTGAGGATGAAGAGATGCCAAAAACATTGCCTAATGAGAGGGTGAGCACGAAATGCATGTTAATACGTTTGGAAAGTGGGAGCCTGATGAAGATAAAATGAGAAACAGTTTGTGTTTGTCATGTGCCTCATGGACGCAGTCATTTACACTCAGCGGTGATTAACACAGAACTGAATCGAAATCCCACTCCATGCTCACATATATTTCTGTGTGTTTTTTTTTTTACCTTAGATTCTCCATCTCCGACTCCCTGTTGTGTTTTTTCAATATTTTGTGAAGCAGTAAAAGGTTCTGAGGTGGGAGACGCACAGTCGGCATCCTGTCATGGGCACACAAAAAAAGAACAGATACAGAATCAGTTTTCTATTATCCAGGTCAATGTGTTTGGAGGGTCTTTTGTCTCACGATGGGAGGGGTGGTTCAGTTTGGGGTGAGTCTATTTTACCTGGATGTCAAAGAAGAGGCCAAGATGGCCATGAGTTATGAAGTCTCAAATTTCTTCCATTTCTGCCACAAATTTTTCATGGCAAGACTTGAATATTTAGAAAACCGTTTGATGTGAAACATCTCCAATGACTTATTGATTTGATTGAGTTCTGCAGGTTCTTGACTTGGATCTATCTGACTTGAGGTGCTAACACTCAAAGTATTGCTGGCAGGTTAAAGGTCATAAAAGAGTTCTTTTGAAACCAGATTTGTGTCCTCAGCTGTAATTCATTCGCGTCTCTTCCTTTTTCATGGTTGAGGGTGAAAAAATGCAGCTGTGTTTTCTGTGGCAGGCGTAATTTGTCAGTGTTGGGTGAGAAGATATGATAAAGTTTCCGTGACTACTTTTAAGAGAAAAAACAACAACAACAACAACAATCCATTTATTATTAAAGGGTTTCTGGACTGGGGACACACCGTGGAGTCTGACACTAATTCTACTGCTCGATGTGGACATTTCATTTACTCTCAGAACGAACACACACAGGAGTACAGCCTAGTGCCTTAAGTACCCTAGTAGTAGTTTCAGTACCCTAGGAAGGATGTTGGAGCAGGGACCAGTGAGTGTCAGAGCCACTGTCCCAGAACAACCAACAGGAGTTATCAAGTTGTAAATATAAACAGAAGATTTGGTTTAATCTTCTATTCTTCCAGCAAGCAAAGCCAACAAATATGTTTTCACAATAAGATGCTAATTGAACTTTTTTTAAAAATAAGGAGGAGGATAAAAGAGGTAAAACTGTTATTATTCAATTCATAATATGGAGTCAGTTTATAAAGAATAATATAAAAATATCTCTGCTTGAAAATGCCGCAGCATCTGTGGAGGAAAAGCAGGTGTATATTTTCTATGGGCTCAGCCATTATTTCTGAGCGTGTACATACATCTGGGGACATGGTACTCATTACACGATGGCTTGGGTCCCAGAACAACAGAGTGTCTGCATGCTGTGCACCGTAATGATAGAATTGATATTCAAGGTCCATGAAAGCAGTGAGACACTATCCCAGTGAAGTAATGTTATGGTTTGGAGAAGCTCTGTTATTCTCCCACCTTCCTGTTTAATGAAGACGTTACAGGAAACTGCATGTGGTTTTTCCTCCGTGCACTGGGTGGCAGTCTTGGCAAAACGATTCTTGGAACGGTGCCTTGCACATCCTTAATGTTGCTGGTGATTAATGTGACACATTGCCTATTTTTCTGTTCGCACTCGTTTCACTTCCACTTATTCCATCTGTTTGTTCTCCAACTGTCGGGACGTGAAATAGAATCACAATCACAGAAACATCACAGATGTTACACATTTGATGAGCTCTGTCTTTTTTTATCGGTCCCTCCGAGGTACTGCACTTGGTACGAGACGTTAGTGTGGTACATGTATGATGTTAGTAAAACGGAGAGGCACAAAAAGAATTCTAGTCAGAGACCGTCTTGTCTGGAGCCAAAAAGCAGGTGTGAGCTCCTCCGATATATAGTGTTGCAGGGGCCTTTGTGAAAGGTCACTTCAGCAGCTCTGACGTGGTTTCGCTCACCAAATGTCATGATGTCCCAGAGGTCAATATGACCGACAGAGAACCTTATCTGCTGGGATAACACCACTGCTGGTGGAGGACCATGCTCAGGGTCAGTGGAAAATAATAGGTGTAAGAGATGTATACTTCAGGCTACCAAAAACTGAACCTAAAATCAGTTTTATTTTTTTCCTTACCATAAAATACGTATATCTAGTTTTGGACACCTGTTTCCATCAAGTTTGTCTAAAAACACATTATTGAGTCCTTGAACTTTCCTTCATTTCTCTCTGCATTTTAAAAAAAAGAAATCAAAAGGAGATCATAACTGCAGATATTAATACAGTAACTGCACAAACATGTGGACTCTGACTGTCTCTTTCAAGGTAAATACACAGAAAGTAAATAGTCAACTTTGATTCCTTCTTCATTGTGGTTGATATTTTTTTCTTTTTACCTAAATACAAAAAGACGCTCTACGGCCTCAGGCTAATAATGAACAAAGGTAATGCAGTACAGCAGTATTTGTAAAAACACCTGCTCCATATAGAAATAAAAATGGTTCCATTTTGGTTAAAAACACGCCAACTAGTTTTTATGGGAACTAGTTGGTCAGCAGAGTGGATGAATGTCGTCACACGATGCTAACCGTGGACGACGGCTTTGTTTACAGTCGCTGGTTCTACTCCATACATTGGACTGTGCTGCATTCACTGTCTTTCTTTTGTGTTGTTTCTTTTCTGGGAACATTTTGCCCTTCATTATGGCTCCCAGGTGTCAGTCAGACCTGTATTTATGAAGTAAAATCTAAAACTAAATTTGTACATTAGGCACCAAATTTCTTAGCGGTCATTATCTGCGATACTGGTCCTGATCTAATTGATACAAAATCTGTGAGAGTTAAATATTACATACAAACTTACTATATACATAATAATCCAACAAGACCAATAGTCCAGGTAATGAACTGAGTCGTCTCCACAGAGGTTCAATCTTCAGTTGAATCACTGTCTTCGGAGAATATAGTTGAGCTATTTGTTAAGTTTGCTTCTCATTGTCATCACTGGGACGATGGTGAAAAGAAAATTACAGTTAGATGGAATAACCTTCAGTGGTGGCCCACTGGCTCGCCTCAACCCACGGGGCATGTTTGTCATTTAAAACAGCAATATTTTAATAACCCGTGTCCCTTTTTGCATTACATAAATGTAGATGGCTGCGAGGCAATCCGTTTCACTTCTGTTTGACTTTTCACAATCTAATGGCAAATGTCTTTTTGGTCAACAGAAGATATCGTTCCTTTTATTTTTAAACAACAGTTCAGCTCTCATCCACCCTGTTCTGTCCCAGTGGGTAAAGCTACAATGTGGAACTTATTCACCTTCAGGTAAGGTCCCTCCCTCTTTGCAAAAATCGTCCTAGAAAGAACCATTAACAGACAAAGACAAACACATCAGGACAGTCCTGCTCCATCACAGTTTCAGTCAGTTTGGGTTCTTAGAGTCGTGACGTGGGCTGGCTGAAGACTTGCCCGGCGTCACCTGACTCCTGGCTCATCAGTGTTAACTGACAAATTATCCAAAATTGCTGGAAGAAACTGAATGACTCGAGTGAGTAGGGATTGGGACATTGTTTGGCTGAAACTGGAAAACTTCCTCCATCCATCCATCCATTTTCATCCGCTTATCCGTTACCAGGTCGCGGGGGCAGCAGTCTCCATGACCACCACCCAAATCACACTGCACCGTACCAACACCCCTGAACCTTCCTGTTGGTGGTGAGTCCACTGGAAGGTACCAACCACCCTGACAGGGATTGGATCTTGCCCAAGAGTTCCACGCCTATGACAGAGACATGGGGGACACTTCCTCTCACATCCTAAAACAACTCACTCATGGACTCTGTCCAACTCTTCAAAATGTCCTTTTTATTATTTCCCAACAACCATCGTTCCATGCTTTGCTTTAATACATCCTATAACCTGAGTTTCTGCCTGATAACTCATGTATTCTCTCGTAAATGTCAGTCTTCTTCCCAGACTGACACTCAGTCTCCTCACACCGTCTAGTTCACCTTCCCTCGTTCCCCCACCTGCACTCCTGTTTTATTTCTCTGTTTTATCTGCTGCGTTCTCTGATATGATTTTTTCTCTCGGTTGATTCCAAACAAGCCTTTCAACCTTCATCATAAAAATCTTTAAAACGGTTTCTTACTTCTGCTGCATCTTGAATCTGAGGTCTGAACTAAGTCTCTGATTGGTCAGTGCACCCTTCTCTACTACACTGACATACTGTAGTACTGAGGTTCCAATTGCAGCACATCACACAGAAGGCAGAACTAAGTTTGATGTCTTTTACACAGTTTCTCCAGACAAAGAAAGAAGCAGCAGTAAAGTTTGGTATGATAATCTTTTGACTTACTACTTCATCCGTGCTCTACTTTATGAAAACACGAGCTTAGGATGAGCCGCTGTTCAAATAAGAGAAAGAAAAAGCTGGGGGAAAAGAGACTGTGTGTGTGTGTTACTAGAACAATGAAAACTATATTCATTAATTATATCAACTGCTGTCATAACTACTGAAAGTAGAAAAAAAAACCTTTCTGAGCCACCACCTACAGACAACATCTGAATTAAAAATGTTTCTGTCTCTCTCTGTCTCTTTCTTTCTTTTTAGCTACAAAAAATATGAACTTCATTCTCCATTTTATTTTCTTTTTCAGAAAAAAGAAGTGCACAACAGCCACTTTTTTTGGCCGGTCAGGGTCCTTACGGAAACCAGACCATCGCGGCCTCCCACCAACCATGACGAGAAGAAAATGGATGGGGGAGAGAAATAAGAGAGAGGGGGAGAAAGTGTTGAAAAACACCGACACTACCTCGGCCAATAACACTACAACGTTGGAATCCCAGACACACACACACTGATTCCACTATCAAAGCCACTGACAACTGGTTTCTCTGGGACCGTTCCAGGGTTTACACTCGATAATAAACTGAAATAATAATTGTCATAGCACCAGTCGAGCACCAGTAAAAATTTGATTGGGAAATGTAACGTTTTACCTACATTATCACCAGAAAGGACCATGTCAGAAGACAGGCCGTGGTTGTCAGTGTTAGGTTGACACTGGACGCAGCTGGGGTGGACGGGTCGGTCAATTTGACCAATGACAACAATGAAAGAGAGAACCAATCAGACACTGAGCTGTCCTGCGATACAGTCGTAAACCTACCTTGTCAACAGATATCATGTATCCATCCATCACTGTAATTCCTATAAAGCTGTTATTGTCATTGGGAAAATGCAATTAAAATAACAA